GGACAAACAGTGCTAGAATATGAGTAATAAGAAGGGGCCAGTCAAGCATTTTGAAGCTATTTAAGAATAGGAATTGTGGTTTAGATGTATCTGTTGGGTCTGAGCACTACATGGTTGCTTGTTCTCTGAAATTTTTTCAGTTGTGGTTTTCTATAATGGTGTGTTATAAAGGGACATTTATTTCATGAAGAGAAAGATCTATATAACTTCAACATAAATCCTGTATATAAGACTGAGGTATTTTGGCAAAGGAGACGTGGAAATGATGTAAAAACCAGAACAGAACGTATTATGACCCTAGAAATGTCAGAGAAGCCAAATCCATAATGTTTAATCAGTATGGCTGTTTAAATCTGACCTGAAGTGGGAACATAACAATATACATGCTAACATGAAAAAAAGAAAACCCCATGGGGCTTCAGGCCCAATTGAAAGACTATGGGCAATTAGGGTTTACTGAAAGGGAGGAAAATAATCTTCCCCAGGAAAAAGCCTCTAGCTTAGTTTTCCAACATCCACTGGTCACCCCAGAAAACATATATACACAATAAACATTATATATATATATATATATATATATATATATGTATATACATACATATATAAATAGTAAGTTAGAAAAACATACATATATATGTATCTATAAAAATGATATTACTTAATATATAAAGACATGTTCAGTCCATATATATGTGTGCATATATATGTATATATATACATATATATATATATATTTCCAAATATATATATATATATGTATATATATTTCAAAATAAACAGAGTCAATGGATATGAGAAAGAACAAATGGTGCATGGAATGGGAAGGGTTACAAGAAAGAAAAATATTATAGAGAAGACAATGTAACTGTATATTACTTTCAAACCCATATTTTAATTATTTAAAGGATGTGAAAAGCTTTCTTTCCTTACTATAGATCATTGTATTCTTATTCCCCAGATGCAAAAGCAGAAAATTTATAAGGCAACTGAGTATTTACCTTTGACCCATATTTTCTACTATTTAATGTGTAAGTTCCCATAAGTACTGGAATATATTAAGAAATTGTGTGTTTCAACAAGTTTTCTGGTTTTAGTAGTTTCAAAAGTAACATATTTGAAGATATAGCAACCCACATAGAAACATTACTTACTGTTTATATGTCTTTGGAGAAATTAGGGAGATATGGTAGATTCAATATCACCATACGTAATTGCTATCTTCAGATTGCAGTCATCTAAAGGATTTTATGATATTCTTCATTTTCTCAGCCTGATTCTTCACAAAAACTTCAATGCATTCAGATTATTCTTTTCACAATTCAATGATATAAAGAGGAGCAATAACAGCCAGTTCTGTTCCTGTAATAAGTAGCTTCTGTGTTCTACAGAGTCCTCTGAGTTTTAGAATTACTGCAATTATCAGACAACCCCTGAGCAAAGGTCTTCAGAGATATTCCTTATACATATTCAGTCCTTCTAACCTACTGAAACTTAAAGCATTTCCATAAAACAATACAGTATTTAAGTGCAACAATATTGATGAACCTAAAACACTAGGCAAACACGTGTCCTCATTTTCTCATTTTCTTTTTTTCTTTTTTTCCTCTTCCTTAATTTTCTGTTTTTTGTATAACTTTCTTTAAAAATTGTTGGACAATTTTGTCCTATTATATACTTTAGTTTTTGTCTTCTTACAGCTCCTAAGACTTAACTCTCTCATCCCTCAGCTTTGCATCATTAATAGGAAGGGTCCATAGAGTCCAACCTGTAGGTGATTGCTAATTGCTAATTAATTGAAAAGGTGCCATTTTCTAAAGTATACTAAATTTGATAATATGCTCTTACTACAGTAAGTAACCCACATGCATTCTTGGGGAACAAACTCTGGTCAAAATTGGATATTGCAGTAGTAGGGTACAAAAATGATTTGTCACTTTGGGACATTAACCTAACTACCTCCAAAGTTGTTACCAGTTTTGACTATAATTTCATAAACAAGAAATTGATATTAACATAATAAGTATTATTGAAATCTTGTAAGCTATAATCACTTTTCAGTACATTTTTCACGTGTATATGTGTAGTTCTATGTAACTGTGGGCACTCTGTTAAGGAAACAGCTTATTGTGTGAGCAGTTTTTCATTAGGAACTCGTTCACCTAGCAATGGAAATGTACTGAGATCTGGATGAAGTTGGCACCAGAGACACCAGAGAGAGCTGATAATTCTGTTCTATTGTGAGTATAAAAGCTTATAAACTATGAGATCTAGCAGCATTATTCTGTTTAATGGCAGCAAGTCATGACCTGAAAAGTGTTCATGCTTCAATCCAAAGTTAGACTAAGAACCTGCCATCCTAAAGTGAAGAAGTCAGACAAGATAGAATTCCTGTTGTTTGTTGTGACCTTAAGCTAATGTTAGGAATTTGAATACTTATATATATTAATACCCAGATTGAAGAAAAATCTGATTGACTCAGTCTACCAATTTAAATAATAGTCTCATGCAAGTCACATTGAAATTAAAAAGAGTAATAATAATAATAAAATACACATGTGATATGATTTTAAAAGAATATCCAGAATCAAAAAGTTTCAATTAAGTTGTCATATGAGAGATAGCTCCACAAATATATCTTCCTGTGTTGTATCTTCATATTTATGGTAACATGTCCCTACTCATGTCTATTGACAAGCACCAATCTAACTTTCATTTCAATAATTAATTAAATTGTGATGGGACCATGTAGTTTTCATGCATGCAGACTGCCAGAGGAGTGACCAGTTAAGTCCTCTCTACTGCTGGATAGTATCATAAGTATGCTATACCATTACACCATAGAGTTTTTAAATGCAGGCCATGAAGAACATTTGACTGGTTTCTAGTTTTCATTATTATAAAAAATATTAACATTAATACAGTTATACATGTTTTTATGTGATTATACTTGTCTTTTTTTCTGAGCCTAATTACCAAGCATGATGGATGAATTTCCTTACAAAATTAGGTTTTAATTGATTACTTAGAGAAAACACATCATTGCATTTATTCGTTACAGAGTGGGGCATGTCATGCCATGCACCTGAGGAGGGGAGCAGTGGAAAGCATTTAGGAGTTTATTCTCTTCCATTGTGTGGGGTGGAAGAACCCAACAAATGTTGTATACCTTGGTAGTAAGTACTTTACCTGCTGTGACATTTTGCTTAACCATTATGAAAAAAGAAAAGCAAAAGGAAAGGAAAAATCAAACAAGCAAAAAAGCTTTTCATTCAAACTTGTGACTAATTATACCATTTTAATTTTCAGACAGCAATGTATATAAGCATCTGCATCTATACTCTGTCACTATTAAGCATAACCACTTGAAAAATGTAAGGTTTCTTGTTTTACTGTGATAAAAACAAGCTGATAATACTAAAATTTTACATTATTAACTTGTTTGCTATATTTTTGTGGACTATATGCATAACATTTACTTAAATTTTTCTAGTATAATAAAAACTCAGGAATCAGAAACTGATATAAAAACCTAGTAAGTGTTGGGGAAATAGCTCAGTGGAAGAAAGACAAAAAAAAAAAAACAAACAAACAAACAAAAAAAGACAAAATAAGAAAAACCTAATAAATCCAAGGAGATGCAGAAAATGAATTGGATGACCCTCTCTCCATATTTTTTTTTTTATTTTTCCTATGTACCAGCCCCAAGAACTCCCTGGGAAATCACCTTTTCTCATTTTCTGTTCCTCTCTATCAGACCTCCTCAGTCCTCCAACAACTCCATGGATAATCCTGGTGAGCCAATCAATGACTCTGTCCTTTGATTTAAGGTGGCTTTATTGGCACAGTGAAATGTCATTATGAACCATTCTCTGGCAACATATATTTCCATGATATTTTCCCATTTTGTAATTAGGTATTATATTTGGAGAATTTCCTTACATTCAATACATGTAAGAACTTTGTTGAATATGGCTCTCGGATATTTTAATGCAAGTACACAACCTGTTTTATTTTAATCCATTGGTAGGTGTATTAGGTATTTACCTGGCTATTGTGACAACATTCCTCAATCAAAGCAGCATATGGAAACAAAGGTTTAATTGTGCTTGTAATTAGGTATACACCACAATGGCAGAGGAAATGTGGCAATAACAGGATATCCAAGAGAAGTTTCAGTGAGGATCCAGTATGATTTGATGATGGTGTGCCAGAGGCTAAAGGCCAGAGGCTTTGAACCTGACCAATGACTCATTGCAATATTTGTTGGTGGGGCTGATTAAAGAAAATGGTATATTGAATGACAAAACTCTGTTCCCAATGCATGTTTGTAACTAATTTGGTGGGGTGGGGTCTTTTGGGGATGTTGTAGGGCTGAGAATCAGATATGGAGGACCTTGGAGGTGAAGGGGATGTGAAAGTCTCACAAGTCAATAAAAATGTTATAGAAAAAGAAAAGAAAAACATTAAACAAGAAAAAACAATGTCATAGAAAATTTACTGATGATGCTCAATAATCAGAGAAAGTGAACACATCTGTAGGTATGCACAAAATATTTAACCCTCTCAACACATCTGTGTGATCCAGATACTGAATATGAGTTTCAGGATTAATGGCTGCTCTCATATTCCTACATTAGCAGCCACATATCTTCACCAGTTACTTTCAAATTTTCTCTGCAAATTTTCTCTCTAGAATATACAATTCTTCATAACAAACTTGATTATATTCCAAGAATTCTCCCCTAAGACACATAACATCATAGATATGTACTGAGTACATGTCCTCTGGATTCAGAGGACATTCAGATTATTGCGATATGGATTTTCAAAATCATTCAATAGCTCATATACTGAATGACTGATGGCAGGACGACAGGGTTGAGATGTAGTATCTTTGGCAGATGATTGTATATTAACAGTATTGACCATATTAATGTTCTATTATTACTTATAGTCTAATAGGTATCAAAGCAAAATGCTGTTACCTAGTGACATTATTTTAAAATAGGGAATGTTTCTTGAATTTAAATACTATCTTAAAAGGGACCATGCTAAGATTCTCTGTATTGTTCTAAATTTAGTATATATGTGGCTGAGCAGGCTAGCTTGCTTATTAAAGTTCTGCCTGGCACATAGTAGCTACTATTCTCTCCATTAACACCTATCACTATAATATTTTGTTTGGTTAGCATACACATAACATCAACTGTCTATTCAGGTACTAAAACCTCAAAACAATGAATCCTTCTTTTAGTTGATGTAATACACTTTGCATCTATAATGTCCATATAATGCTCTCATGTGGCACTATTAGGGTGGTGGAAACTTTAGCATATGGGATTACTGAAGTAGTTCACTCATTGGGATTATGTGATCGATTTCTCTAATTACTCCTTGATCACCATGAGTTATGCAACTGTATAACATGTTTTGCCAAGAGGTATTATGTTGTCACAAATCAAACATAACACATATATTGGCTCAAGTTTTATAAACACACATTCTCTCTTGCTCTTTCTCTCTCTCAGATTTCTTTACTTTGTACAGATATGGGTATTTGAACAAATATTATTGCATTGACATGGTCTTTGTTAAAGTCTTTTACTCCAAAGCACTTAATTATAAATCTATTTTATATGGGTTAGACTTTGCCAAAGTTCGTTTTTCATTTTACACAGTTACTTGTCTGACATTATTGGGAAGTTTCCACTAGAAAGAGAGCTGTGAAAGAAACTGCAAAGATCCTTTATACCTCTGCGTCTACACGATTTGGAGATAAACAAAACAGAAACTTTAAACAAATGGATGTCTCATATATGGTATGCGAGTCATGCTTTAAAGAGTAATAAGCAACTGTGAATAGCACTACAGAACGATATTCTATATAAGACATTACAGTAAACTTCTCTATTAAAGAGACATTTGGGGGATGGTGAGATAGTGTGATTTAAAAATACAACTACCTGAGTCTGAAGACTTGAGTTTGATTCCCAGAGGCAACATGAAAGTGGGAGGAGAGAACCTACACATTCCTTCGAGTGATTCTCCAGAGAGTTTTCAAGGAACTACTCCATATAGAAGCTGTAAAACAAAGTCCACTGGATTTTCTGAGTGATTACGGGACACCATAGTATCAACATTACTTTTCTTTCTTTCTTTCTTCCTTCCTTCCTTTCTTTCTTTCTTCCTTTCTTTCTTTTTAATGTAAGCTGAGATTAGCAATGACAAGAATAAGACAAGAATCTGACAATGGTGTAAAGAGGAAAACACCTGTAGGGCCACCCAGAACTTCCAGGAGGTAATGTCATCTCAATATTCAGACAGCATTATTAAGTTTGAGGAAGACCTTGGTAGGCAAGACCAGATGCAGAGGGACAAACTCGTGAAAAGTTTTATTAGAAAGGGGAGGGAAGGGGGGAGGAAAGAGAAAAGAGGTAATGAGACACAGAGAGAGGACAGAAGAGAAGAGGAAGACAGGGAAAGTCCTGTCTGTCCCAGGGAAACAACAGGAAAGAGAAAGTTAAAAGAGAGCATAAGTGGGCAGAGGTCATTCTTTTAAGGGGTCCTTTGCACCAGGACTGACCAGGGTACTGCCTGACAGCATTTTGCCAGGTGACAGGAGCAAGTCAGCATAATGCCTGGATCTGTACAACAGTGACAGAAGCTGATGGGAGCAGAGGATTAACAGTGTAAGACAGTGATAAAAATCCAGAAGGATGACATGTAATTTTTGGACAATTAATCACATGACAATGAAGATGATTGGTCAACTAAAATGAGGATAAAAATATAGAACAAAAGCAAGATTTATTTTCACTGAAAATTAATAACATGGGGAGAAGACTCAGGGTTAAGAATATTTGCTGCTCAAGCACAGTGAACTGATTTAAGATCTCCACAACCTATGTAAAAGTACAGTCAATAGCTGCATAAACCTGTAAGCCAGTGATGTAGGAAAGAAACAGAAGGGTCACTGGGGCTTTGTGCCCATCATCTTAGATCTAGGATTGCAGTGATAGTCACAATGTCAAAGGAATAAGGCAGAATGTTATAGAGCAATACACTGTCCTCTGTGAATGCATGGGTGTACTTGTCTACACATGAACATGTATAGATGCCACACACATACATCATGAATTCATTAATACATAAATAATTATGAGTAAAACTGTTAAAACAAAATGAGGAACATGTTAATATGATCAAAAAATAATACTGCAAATGTGGAATAGTAAAGATACAAGTGTCAGTGACCACAATTTCTGAAATGCTCTTTATGAGATTGTAGGCAGGTTCAAACAAAAGGTGTGGCCCAGGCTGAGGTCTGGGTGATTCAGGTTAGACAGATTACATGGCTTAGACTATATTTTAAGATATGACATACTCTGATATGTTGCCATGATCTGTTGAGGTCAATTATTTGGCTAAGCAGCATCACAAAACATTTAGCAAAATTAAAGTATGCTTAAAAAATGAAAGAATAATGATTCTAAATACCATAAAATTATGAGTAAATGAATCTGTAGTTGTACATAAAAAGTAGGATTGTGGATTCAAATTATTTCTCTTTTTTAAACATGAGTTGATAAATTGACTATGTTTCCTGTCTTCTACTCTTTTAATTTTTCCTTTGTAAAGAGAAAATTTTCCAGTAATTAATGCCCACTTTTCAGTACAATATATACATTTTAATATTTTAACTGCTATAAAGATTTGTAATGTATTCTACTATTGGTCAAAATGAAATTATGAAATACAGAAAAAATATCAATCTAATAGAACCCAAAGAGCCACAGAAAGGATAGGACAAGTGTCAACAACTGTACATGGAGGATATTTTTTTCTCCTTCCTGCTATCTTCATCCTGGCATCTGGGGTATATGACATTGGATCCATGTGCTAATTTTTGGTTCTACCCTCTTGTGAGTATGTTATATTTAAGCAAGAAAGACAAAAGTCAGCCACAGCCTTTCCTGTACATTCTAATGACTCCAGATTCAACCACCTGGCATTTATTTTTGGTTGTAATTGGGAGATTATATAACCTACTAGAAATATAATTGGTGACACTACAGTTCTGGGCATTGTACATCTAAGGTTAAGATGTAATTGAAATGTAAATATAATATCAAATCTGGTAAGAGACAGTAAGTTTTCAGTTTTGCCTATAAAGAAATGAAACAAAAATCGAAGAGAAACTTTATAGCAATTCACTTAATAACTCAGTAAAAGCACAGAGCTTTTCAGTGAAGGGTATCAAACCCAAAATTATGTTATTGTGCTTATTATTATTTCTTTCCAATAATGCAATATGATTTATTTCAAATCAGTGGATTACTTCATTTTTGGAAAGGGTCTCACACTGGTATGAAACTCTCTGATTAGACCACACTGGCCAGAGCTGCAGGGATCCACCTATCTCTTCTTCACAGCTGGAAGTGCAGTCCACTGTCACTATAATTGACTGTCTTGTTACCTTAGATTCTTGGGATTAAACTCAGGTTCTTGTGCACAAATACAAGCAATTATCCAATATGAGCTTTCTTCTGAACTCACTGATAATTTCTCTAATTATTTTTAAAATATACATTTCTTTTTCTTTTTTTATTTGATTTTTTTTTTTTTTTTTGGAGATAGGGTTTCTCTGTGTAGCTTTGTAGACCAGGCTGGCCTAGAACTCACAGAGATCTGCCTGCCTCTGCCTCCAGAGTGCTAGGATTAAAGATTCCTGGCCATCATTTTTTTTTTTTACTTTCTAAAACATTTTTAATTAAATATATTTAATCATATAATATTATTCCCCTCCTCCAAGTTCTCTCCAGATCTCCTCCTGTTCTCTATGTCAATTCCAATGAGTACGAGTAAAGACCATTACCCAAATCTTTGCTCAAAGTAAGCCAGCTTTATTTTCTGTCAAACAGGGCTAACTCTAAAGTTGGGTTTGAATAACCAAACATTGAACACAGTAAAAATTGAGGCGTATATACACCCAAAAAAACTGCAATGCTATGAGGTTTTCAAGAATTGGGGAATTGCCATAGTGAGTTTCCTAATTTAGGAGTGGAAACTTGGCTGAACTTTTTAAATTATTTGTCAGAACATTTTATCAGGGTATAGTCAAGGTGTAAATCAAGCTCCATACAGTAGGAAGCATGTAAAATCCAAGAAACAGGTTAAAGCATAGTCAGCTTGAATTTTTCAGCAAACAGAAATGAATGTGTTCTGAACTTATACAAAAAGACTTTCATCCTTAAATTGGACTCAGTCTAGTCCACCTACCCACACAACGTTAATTTTTTTTTCTCCAAATAAACCAAAAGAAAAAAAAATACAAGCCCCACCAAGAAAGAAAATCAAAGACCACCCAAAAGGAAAATTTAAGGCCAAAAAAATCAAACTGTAACCAAACACACACACACACACACACACACACACACACACACACACACACACACACACACAGCATAGGAACCCCAAGGCCAAGTTCTCAGCACAAAGTAGATAAAGGCGATTTATTTTCCCCAGAGACACAGGGCATAGGGACCAGGGTTACAAAAAAAAAAAAAAAAAAAAAAAAAAAAAAAAAAAAAAAAACAGAAAGAAAGAAAGAAAATAAGAGACACAGGAAGGGACCTAGACCTAGGCACTTCAGGTCCCAGACCCAGAGACCTTGCCCAGCCCAGCACAGCACAGCAGGGAGCCTGCCTGTGGTCTAGGTCCCTGAGGCTGTGGAGCTAGTGGCCTTGGCCAGAGGGGAGTTGAAGAGCAGGGATTTAGGAAGGTCTCATTTGGAGGGGACAGGGATTCACTGTATTTATGAGCTTGGACCAGAATGTAGATTCTGAGGAAACATATGCATCTGGGTGCTTGATTTGCTAGAGCAGTCTGTAGTTGATTTGAAATTTGTAATTTGTTGGGACAGATAGACTATGGAAAGAGGCAACATTAATGAGTTTAGAAAGAATATTTGTCATGCTCCTGGTAGCTGGGAAGAGAAATCCCAAGACCAAGGAAAGGGGAAGAGATCCCAGAAAATGTGGAAGAGATTCTACCCTTACAGAGAGCAATAGGAGAGAAAATTTAGGCTGTTGAGTGAAGGGAA